CCTAATAGCAATGACCTCCAACCTAATAGAAATGACCTCCAACCTAATAGCAATGGCCTCCACCCTTTTAATAGCAATAGCCTCCAACCTAGTAGCAATGGCCTCCACCCTAATAGCATTGACCTCCAACCTATTTGCTAGTGATGGCCTCGCGACGGCCTCCAACATCCTCCAACCTAGTAATTGGTAGAATGCGGGCAGTAGATATCTCATGATAGATAGGTTTCCACATTCCAGATCATGGTTCCCCTTGCAGCCGCAGTCCGTTCATCAGGGCCCTCATGATGAGCCCAACCTCAGATCCAGATGCTGCCAGTCGATGCTCGACCTCCAAACACGAAATACAACAAACCACCAAGGCTTGGATCGAGGGCGATCTTTCAAAGGCGATCGCTGGGTTTTGGCGCGACCCTTTTCCATCCTCCGGAAATGGTGAGTCCAGAGAGGGTGGTAGGGAAGATGGGGGGGAAGGATGGGGAAGGAGGGAGGATGGAGGACCCAACAAATGAAATTGCGTGCACTCCTGGAGCCCTTTCCGCCTTTCCCCTCCTTTCCCTTTTTTTGGTAATCATATATTGGTCCATGAAATTCGACGGATCACTTCACCCGCGAACGTCGCGTTTCTCCATTCACCCGCAGAACTCTTTCGCTTCATCCGACACTGCGACCCCTTCATCCGCACCTCTCGGGCGGTTCTCGGGATCCGTCTCGCGCGGGTGACAGGGCTTCCCCGAGGGCGAGACGGGGTACGAGTTTTTGGAGCGGATCTTGCAGGGCCTACGACAAGCTGCTGGTCTGGGGGAGGCCAGGCGACGGGTGTGGAAGACGCACCAAACTAATACCAAAACCATCATGTTCAACAAAGAAAACAATCAAAAACCGTTATGTACACCGCCAAACAAAACCGAAAACAGTGGTTTTCGTTGACAAAATAAGACGAATGCAGTCGTTATTTTCACCAGAACACTGATACAACACTGGCCACTCTGGTCGGCGAAAGCCTTGGTTTTTCTGTGTGGAAAGAGTACTGAGAAGCTGACCCGAAGGTAGAAGCGCTCGCTGATCAGATCCGACGGGATACCACATAGCTGAGTACAAGACGAGATGAAAATAAGAGAAATTAATTTGTTCTTTTGTTTGGGCATCCAAGAAGGTGATGAGTGCAGTTGCTGTGAGCAGATTCATAGCGCATGACCCATTCCTCAGCTGTCCAGCCGTGCAGGCTGTGGTGGTGGTAGCACATGGCGGCCTGTGTTGGCCTCAGGCGGTGTGCGTGTGCGAGCGAAGCTTTGGCCGCCAGCTTTTCCGCCAAAGACCAGCAAAACAAACCGGCAGATCCTGAAAGGTTCTACTCTAAAGACGTCTTCTTAAGTCCTCACCGTTTGAAATCTCTCAACATGTCCAACTCCAGATTCTTTGGACCTTTCTCCGTACCTCTTCAAGTCAAGCACATGAACAGCGACATATCATTATTTATATATTATATATGTCAGAATGCACATAGGTTCCACACAGTCGCTCACATACACCTGCATCCGCAAAACCTCTAGGCCCGAAAGCCCTTTTGAAAAGGTGCGCAGCCCGTTTTTCATGGTAGCGGAGCCCTGGCCGTAAGAGCCAGGGCTCCCGCCCACGCGCACAACGACGAGGCCGACATCCTCGGCTTCGACTTCGAGTTGGAAAGGTGTTTGGACTTGTGAGCTGCTGATCCTGGCCTGTTTGGCCGGAGGATTTGCAGTTGGAGGAGCACACCAGGAGATCTGCTATTACCAGAGCGGATCAGGACCTGCCGGTCCTGTGAAGATCAAGAGAAGGACCCTCCACAGTGTCTACGTGGAGGCCGACGAGTACATCGGGAAGCTGAAGTGGCTGAAGAGCGACAGAGCAGCCAAAGCCAGTCTCCTGGTGAGGGAGAAAAGTGGAAAGAAGAAGAAGAGGGATTGCCGTGAGCTCATAGTGATCGTTCCTGCGAGCTGGCAGTTTCTTGACAAGCTAGAGGCAACAAGAGAGGACCTCAAGGAAGGACAAATTGGTGCCTTGGTAAGCCAGTGGAAGTTTTGGGAAGTCCTCAACTACAGCGGCATACCATTCGAGGTTGAACAGGACGGTGCACACCTTACCTCCAGGTGCTACTATCCAAAGGCAGTGCAACTGCGAAGGATGGCAGAGGATAGTTTGAAGCTGGTGGCAGCAGCTTTGGAAAAGTTGAGTGTGAACCAGGCCTCACAATCCTGGTCGAGGCATTTGAAGCCTCCTGACGTGTTCAAACCGGACACGAGAGACAATGAGTTGAAGATGTGGAGTGATTGGAAGTTTGCATTTTGCAGCTACATCCGAGGAATAGATCCAGCAATGGCAGCAGCCATGGATGTGGTGGAAAAGAAGATCAACAGTGACTACACCCTCGATGATATGACCGATGACATGAAGACGATGTCAGTGAGGTTATACAGTGTGCTCACATCATACCTTCGAAACCGCCCTCTGAAACTGGTGAAGCACATCAAGCAGGAGAATGGATTTGGTGCGTGGCAGTTGTTGTTAAAAGAGATGCAACCGGCAACAAGGGCAAGAAGCCTTGCATTGCTCACACAGCTGTCAAGGGTGCAATTTGCTGAAGGGAAGTCATTGAGTGAACAATTCCCTCAGTATGAAGCAATTGTCACTGAGTATGAGCGCATCAGTGGACACGTCTATGCTGACGATGCGAAGGTGGCCTCAATCCTGCAAGGATGCCCTGCCTACATGAAGCAACATCTTCAGTTGTGGGTCGATGACAGTACGACCTACGACTCATTGAAGGCGAAGGTGATGCAGCTGGAGTCGCTTTCTACACGATGGGATGCGAGCAACAGCCTGTCTCTGCCGACCAGGGCAGGCGCAGATGAGAGCACACCCATGGAAGTGGACTACATCGGGAAGTCCAGCGACAAAGGAAAGAGAGGAGGAAAGAAAGGAAAGGATGGAAAAGGCAAAGCAAAAGGTAAGGACAAAGGAAAGTCGAAACAAGAAGGCAAAGGATTATGGAAGTCCTTTGACAAGGGCAAAAGTGCTTGGGAGAAAGGACAAGGGAAGAAAGGCAAGAATGCTGAGAAAGGGACAAAAGGCAAGACAGGAGGATGCTTCATTTGTGGCAAACAAGGCCACATGGCGAAGGAGTGTTGGAAGCGCGTGCAACAGGTAGAAGAAAATCCTGGTGGGGCAGCAAGCTCATCGTCAGGACAAGCTACAGCAGTACGAGAGACCACGCAGGTGAAGATGGTGAGAGTTGAGGACCAGGCCACGGAGATCTTTGACCTTACGCAGTATGAAGAGGTTGTCGAAGAAATTCAGCATCCTTGGAGAGTGAATGCAGTCTATGAGGAGCCCAGCGAAGAGGAGTTCTTTGACTGCCGAGAGCCTGTTGTGTGGACACCCAGTCACGTTCCGGTGATTGCAATGGACATGCAAATGCATGAGGGAGAAGGAAAAGGAGCCAAGTTCATCCAGATGGTGAAAGTGGAAGCGGTCATCCAGGACAGCTGTCTAGTCAGTGGTGCAGATGTTTCAGTCCTACCACTACGCTATGGAGAAGTGGGGACTTGGCGACCAGGTTCAGAAAAGTTGAAGATGGTGGACGCACAAGGCACAAAGATAGCCCATCAAGGGCTGACAAAGGCAAAGATCAAGATTGAGGATAGTGAAGGGAAGGACATCGAGTTGATAGAAGAGTTCGTGTTGGGGAATGTCCAACACCCCATACTGTGCGCTGGTCGACTCCTGAGAAAAGGTTGGAGCATCTCAGGAGGAAGTGATGGAAAGATGTTCCTGTTCCACGAGGAGCGGAATCTGAAGATTCCAATCAACACAGAAAGGAATTCCCTTCAGTTCGAGGCTAGGATCTTTGGCGTTGAAGTGGAGGAGCAGAGCAAGAAGGTCAGCCAGAAGGAGGACTGTGCGAGAGTGTGTGTGCTTAGAGGTTTCCTGAGCAAGTATGTGGAGGAGCTCGAACTGTCCCCAGGGTGGCACCGGCTACCGAACGGAGTCATCGTGTACAGCGACCCCGTCGCTATCAGGCTGGCAGATGCAAGGCAAAGTGTTGATGGAGAGTGGAGAGCAAGAATGACACTCATGAAGGACAAGGATGGTATGTGGAGGCAGCTAGAAAATGTTGAAGACTATACCAGTCTTGGCGACAAAGCCTTCAGGAGGGTCACCACAGATCAAAACCCTCAGAGAACCCTGAGTTTCTTCTCCCCAAGTCGCCTGAAAGACTACTGGGAGCAAGATGCCGAAGTCCCGACGTTCCCATACCCTGAGCCAGAAGGTGAGATCAAACACCATGAATGGTCGGAAGAAGAACAAGAAGATCCAGAGGAGCTGGAGGAGAAATGGGAAGCCCAAGACATCGAAAAGATGGTCCTAGCAGAGAAGACGGATGAGGTTGAGCTTGATGAGGTGGTATTCAATGAAAAGTCATCAGTCAAAGAGCTGCAGTTGGCATGTACAGAAAGAGGGCTGCCATATACAGGGAGCAAGAAAAGGATATTAGCCCGCCTGATCGCGTTCAAGATTGACTTGGAGAACAAATTGCAGCTGAGCATTGCCAACAAGCTTTTCAAAGAAAACCAGAGGAAGCCCATGACGCTGGGACAACCAAAGCTTCCGTCATTGAAGGAACAAGAATTGCACTTTGTCACTCATTGGCCGTACGCTCCATGGTGCCAAGCATGCATGGCAAGTCGGGCAAAGGAAGACAAGCACATCTCCGAGAAGAAGAAACCAGAACTGGGAAAGAATGTCATCGAGCTGGACTTCTTCTACACGTACACGGGTGAAGAAAGGAGGATGGAAGACCAGAAGGCTCCAGATAAAGTGCAAGAGAGGCAAGACCAGTTTGGTACATGTCTCATTATGGCATCGAGCGAAACGAAAGCGATCCATGTTGTACCAGTTCAAAGCAAGGGCACTGCAAGTCTCAAGCACATCACAGAGGAAGTCATCAGGTTCACATTGGAAAATGCCTCGAGAGATGCATGCATTTTGCAGGCCGACTCCGAGAGGGCAACACGACAGATTTTGAGAGCAGTGCAACAAGTCAGAAAGGTGATGTGCCTGGAAACAGAGATAAGGTTGACAGGACCAGGCCAACATCAATCAAATGGATTGGCTGAGAGAGCGGTGCAAACAGTGAGGCGCTTGGCAAACTGCCTGAGAGCATTTGCAGGTGACAAGGCAAACATCGACATTCTGGGCAACTTTCACCTGTACCCGTGGGCATTCAAACATGCAGCTTTCCTGATCAACAGGTTTCGAGTTTTGGAAGGAACAGGAAAGACATCATACGAACTGGGCACAGGTCACAGTTACAGAGGGAAGCTGGCATTGTTCGGTGAAAGTGTGATGTTCAAGCGAGTGGTGAGAAACAAAGGTTCAGATGGCTTCATCAGAGGCATATGGTGTGGAAAGCATGTGTGGAATGACATGCACATCGTCCTCACGCGCGAAGGTGCCTACGAAGCCAGGACAATCAGAAGGTTGGCTGCAGAACAGTCATTCAATGCCCTGGAGATGGTGATTGCAAAAGGATTGCCGTGGAATTACTCCCCTCAAGGAATTCTCATGAAAAGGATCGTGGGTAGACAACAGAGAAATCCCACAGTTGAAGCAGACATCAACCCAGATGAGCTTGAGGAGATGTCAAAGACGGTTGCTGCAGGGTTGGTCAAACCAGCACCGGGTTTGGCCGCACAACCAAAGACACCAGTCGGGGTATTCGCAGCACCAGGAACACTAGCACAAATTGGAGAGGCGAATGCTGGATTGAAGAGAAGTGCAGAAAGACAGCAAGAAGAAGAGGCTGAAGCAAAAAGACAGGACACGACAGAATCGCCAAGAAAGATGGTGACAAAGAGAGGAGGTGCAGAGGATGAGCAAACAGATGAGAAGAGACAGAGGACAGGTTCAGAGGAATCAGTTGAGATGGAAGAGAAGAAGGAGAAGCCAAACAAAGAAGCAGAACATGAAGCAGAGGGGTCTCCGAGCATGAAGAAATCAAGGTTGTACCCACCGCACTATGCAGGTATAGAAGCCGTGGAAGTACATGGAGACGAAGAAGCAGGACTGGACTACATGCCTGAAGACATCACGGAGGAGCACATGGGATATGGAGGTGAAGAAGATGAGAATCCTCCAGAAATGTCAGAGGATGAGATTGAAGTCCTGGACGAAGAAGCAAAAGAGAAGGAAATTGAGAGAATGCTGAAGTTACCAGCAATGCAAGAATCAAAGGAAGAGGACGTGGCAAAAGAGAACGGGTACATCATCAGCACCAAGATGGTTATCACATGGAAACACAGGCTGGAACAAGGAGGATGGTTCCGACGTGCTCGATTGGTGGCACGACAATTCAAAAGCAGTGTGGCAATGGAACAGACATTTGCACCTACATCACTCATGATCATCCCAAAGATGATGATTCATTTGTGGATCAACTGCTTCAGCAACTATACAGGGATGACACTTGACATCAAGGACGCCTTTCTGATGTCCCCACAACCACAAGACGAGAAGGCATATGTGAGGATTGGAGAGAAGGTGTACAAATTGTTGAAGTGCCTTCCTGGACAGCGGACAGCAGCAGCGCAATGGTTTCAGCTGTTTGCAAATGGCTGCAAGGAATTTGGCATGAAACAAGATCAGATGCAGCCTACGCTTTTCATCAAGCACGGAGAAATGATGCTGACAGTACACGTTGATGACGTTTTCATGATAGGGAAAGAGTCTGTCCTTTTGAGGTTTGTCAATTTCCTCAAAGAGAAGAAAGGATGGAAGGTGGAAGAGAAGGGGCCATTCCAAGCAGGAGGAAAGTTTTTCTACTTGAAGAGGCAATTCAATGTGGCCCGTGAATATGTGGACATCAGGTGCGACAGGAAACAATATGATGGCCTCGAGAAGGAGATGGACCTGTTCAAGAGAGCATACAGAAAGACTCCAATGGATCAAAATGCCATCAAGAAGGATGAGTCATCACTCCTAGAGGACAGTGATATCACAAAATACCGGAGTGTTGTGGGAAGACTCATGTACATGGCCAGCGAGAGACCGGATGCACAATTTGCCATACAGTCACTGGCAAAGAAGATGGCAGCACCAACGCAAGAAGCATGGAGGAGAGCTTGGCATCTCTGCTCGTACCTATATGGTACCATAGATTTTGGAGTTCGCCTCAGCAGAAGGGAGAAGGGTCGATCAATGCTTGACCCAAGAGAAGATGAAGAGGTAGATCCAGGAGAATTTCATTTGCTGGAGGTGGTCACAGATTCGGACTACGCTGGAAGCAGAGAAGACAGAAAGTCAACGTCTTCATTCCAGATCTACATAGATGGCAACCTCATCGAAAGCAGAGTCAGAAGCCAGAAAGCAATAGCACTATCTTCTGGAGAGGCCGAATTTGTCTCAGTCGTGGCAGGATGCTCAGACGGCATGCTGATCAAGCACCTGTGGCAAGAGATGTCAGGAGAAGAGTGCAAAATGAAGGTGAGATCCGATAGCAGCGCAGCAAGGGCAATGGTGCAGAGGCAAGGCATCGGCCGTGTGAGGCACCTAGATGCCTCGTTGCTTTGGGTGCAGCAGAAGGAAAAGGAGAAGGTGATGAGCATAGCTGCAATTCCAACAGAACTCAATTGTGCTGATGTCGGCACCAAAAGCCTCACGAAGAAGAGACTCTTCGGACTGCTCTACATGATGAAGGTGATCAACGCCATCGGAGACAGAGTTGGACGAGAGGAATACAAAGAGATAGAATACCAATATCAGATCAAGAGAGGTACAAAGAAGCTGATGAGAGGAGGAAAAGACTTACGTGTGGGACTTTTGCTGCTGATGGCAAGCTTGGACACAGTGGCGGGAGAGCAAGTGAACTACGAGACTGAGCCCAATGCGTATACGTTCGAATGGTGGGCACTCATTTTGTGTGCCTTGATCGGGGCCTTGAGCGTGATGCAGTGGCTTCGGTGCATGGTGGAAAAGTTCTTTGAGAACATGTTCACCAAGGAAAAGACAAATGAAGTGGCAAACGAGGATGAGAATGCAAAGAAGCAGAGGTCAGGACATGACCAAGAAACTCAAGTGATCCAAAGGCTAGATTGCAGCCTGTGGAGAAAGTATGAAGAGCAAATCAAAGATCTGGAAGACCAGAAAGATGACCTACAACAGGAGCTGCTACGGGCTGAAGGAATGATTGAAGACTTGAAGGTGGATTTGCAAATGGCCCGAGTGCAGCGCGAAGAAAATTTCCAGATGTATCAGCTGGTGGAGAAGAGATCCATCAAGCTTGAGAAGAAGTGTTTGAATTTTAGGAAGTGTGGAAATGGCAGGGTGATTCATTTTGACGAATCCTGCTCACACTGGGCGAAAGGAGAGCCCATAGACTTTTGCAAGGTGTGTGTGAGCGAAGAGGCCGTGTCAGAATGCACATAGGTTCCACACAGTCGCTCACATACACCTGCATCCGCAAAACCTCTAGGCCCGAAAGCCCTTTTGAAAAGGTGCGCAGCCCGTTTTTCAATATATATATTACTAAATTCAACTGTCAACATCTGTCAACCATGGCCCCCACCGGTCGGTCCCCACCGGTCCCAGGATCCGCTGGTCGGCGGCGCAGATCGCCCCCACGCCGGACGAGGCGAAGCGCCTGGTGAAGTCCCCGCCGCTCGAAGCGGCGAAGCGGCGCGCGGCGAACGGACGTTGCTGGCGTTGTCTTGTTGTAGTTTGTTGTGAATGTAAAAGAATGTAAAAGATAACTATGCGTTTTTTTCCGTAGCTTTTGGTGGAATCAGTATATATATATAATTAACGCTTGAGAACTCAAGAGTGGCGACCGTGGCACCGCTCGTATTCTCAATCAATTGCAAGACCTAGCGACTTGTGGCTTGCGCCCATCACCGAGCCTGCACGGGACGGGCGACCGTTGATTCGAGCTACCTGTCGTCTCATGACTCACGTCGTCTCAAAAAGTGATAAACAATGGCCATATATATATAGTTATATATAATATGTGGGAGGTTATTCCTCAACAGTCCAAAATTGTGATGATGAGGATCCCAACCTTTGAATCCTCACACTCGTCTGAGAAACCCCACATCAAAAAACATGTCCCAAGGTGAAGAGCTGCACGACCCATTTGGGCCACCGAAGGGCTTTTTTGGATGTTTTGGGTGGATACCTCAGTGAAAGAGTTCAGATGTCTCCAGTCATAGAAACAGACTAAGTCCAGTTCACTCGTGAGACTCAAGCTGGGCTGGTCAGTTGACCGCCAAACGAGTTGTGGTTGTTTGAGCTCAAACGAGGTCATCGGAGACCCTTCAAGCAAGATTTGGGTCAGATTTCCTTTTGGGGAGGGTTGAGTTTATGGAAACATATATTGAGTCGTTGCTGCCCATGTTTAGGTCAAGGATGTTAGGTCGACCAACATGCACAGCCATGCACAGCCCAATACAGTCGACAAGTCGCTGAACATGTCGCGTTCAGCGCTTTTTTCGACAAGATGCGGCGTGCTGAGGATTGTGAATTGCTGCTGCTCCACCTTGGTTTACGACCATGACCCTTGCTCGTGCTTGCTCGGCCCTGCTCAGTGATTTATGGAGTTTCGGATGTCTTCTGGGAAGAGTGTTCCGCTGCTTTGGACCCATTGCGACCTGTTTGTTTGGATGTCCTTTTGTCTTCCAAACCAAACATCTCATGCACTGATGCGCAACATGCTTCATGTCATGTTACAGAATGCCCATCAACCCGCGTGCAATCCTCACATCTGGCGGCCTTTCCTCGCGCGAGGATTCGGACTCGTTTCACGCGGAGGAGTGGTTTGCTGATTTGCAGAAATCATCAGGACCTCCGCGTTTGGTGGGCAAAATTCTGGAAAACGGGAAGAGGTTGATGGGAACGCAGATGGGACGACGACTAGCTGACTGTGTGATGTAGCCAAGAGCTCAACTCGGATGAGAATGGATCCTAAAATGAGCTGAATATAGCCTATAGCTGAATGCTTCTTTGTGCTTCTGGTGTTCCATGATCCAACTTGAAATCATGTTGTGTCCATGTGTGTTTTTGTTCTGGCTATTCTCCTGGGACAAGTACCGAGGTGCTGCCATCCTTTGGTACCGAGGTGCAAACTTTGAAGGTCGGGTGAAAACCTGGTGAATGATCATGGACTTCAGAGTGGTGGGTGTATGTATTGACTCGACGGAAGAACACTGGCTATCACTTACTTTGTGCATCGTTTTCTATTTGTTTGCTGGTATAGTAGCCGGTGTGCTGCCAATGGTTTGCATAGTGAGTTCCAATTGGGCAAAGAAGTTGGTCAAGCATGATTCTGGCCTTCGGGCTGAGATGACAGGACTGCAAGCCAAAGACGACACTGGCTAAAGCTGAGGAAGGAAAAGCTTGATGCAGGCTTCTCGTTGCTGCGTCCACTGCGTCTGTTCGCATGATCGATGACGCGAAGGATCGTTTGTACGGCATCCAAAGGTGTTGCCGTAAACCAGGAGTTTTGTGCTTTGGATGAAAGCGACCGTGCAGAAACGACCGTGACACAGGCAAAGGAAAGAGTCTTCAATAATTGTCTTCATATTCCCTTGCAAACACGACCGTAGGACCGTAGAAGTATATAGAAGTCTGGAGAAAAAGGGATCCCACAGGCCAACAAAGGGAGCCAATTGTTTGAGGAAGACATTCAATCCAAAGCAACATGCCAAGCACGAGTTGATGGATTGTTTTAGCACTCAATTTGTTGCCCTTGCTGCGATGCTGGCGTCATTTTCCTGTTCATGGGCACCAAAAAAGAGTCCACCGCTCGGGCGGTGGGGGGCCGGTGCGACCCGCTCCCAGACCAGTTCCAGCGAACTGGTGGAACATTGTAGAACTAGAAAAACCTGTGTATTTGTTTCCTTTGCGACAGGTCATGTGAAGGTGCCACCATGTCTAACGCACTATAATGCATTCAGTGTCTGAAAGTGTGCTCATCTGAGCTCTATTCTAAGTGTGTGTCCTTTTAAACCCGTCATGCCACATGTGGGCGTCAATGCCTCAGATCGAGCAGCTACGGATGTCATGTCGCTGCAGGTGATGAGAAGGTTTGCTTCACAGCTGCCCTGCTTTCCTTGGTACGCTAGTGAGTTAGCGGGTTTCTGTGATTGCCTTTTCTCTGTGTTCGAACTGACCTCCAGACTCCTGGGACAAGCGGTGTGGACTAAACCAGGTTTCTGTGCCGTCCACAGGTGTCCTCAGAAGGTTCAGACAGGACAGGCCGTCCACGCCGAGGCCAAGGGACCTTGCCTATGGCATATGGCGCAGCGGCACTCAGCACCCGGGGCTTAGGATCGCTCAACCGCATGAGCTGCTGAAAGGGCTGCGCCTGAAAAAGGCACCTGTCACCCCAAGGGTTCACACGGCATGGGTCGCATCGGGTCGGATCCTGATGGGTACTGTAAACCACCAGGAGTACCATACCGGCATGATGTTTTGATATATAGAGTTGTTTTTTGGACCTCAGTGAGTGTCTCCAAGTTCGGCCTCCCCCGGACATGGAACTGCTGGCAGATGCTTCTGATTGAGTCTTCCTGTCCTGGTGCGACAAACGACTCCAAACGGAGGACGCTGCAAGTGTTCAAGACCTGCCCGTTCTATTGGAGGTCTGGGACCTGCGCCCAAGGATGACAGTTTAATATTTACATTGTGTATCTGAGTAAACACATCATATATCATCATATAATACTACCAATTATATAATTATATCATAATGTTTTAGTGTATATATAAATGCAGTTATATAACGAGTTTTGTATATTTTTGTGATGTTGTTTGACTTTGTTTGCCCAATACAGGAACCTGACAAAGTCATCCCTCAGTCATCCCAGTGGGAGCAGCCCAGCACCTCGGGCTCCGGGCGGTTTCGATCTTCGCACCGAGATCTTCGGACCTCAAAACGCGTGGCTTCAGAGTCCACACGCCCAGTCCGCCTGGGCCACCCAGTTCGGGCGGGACATGAAGAACTTGTGCCTTGGAGGAGGTGGTTTGACACGTTCCAAAGCTTTCCCCACCAAACACGCACTGGTGGAAAGTTTGAGCTGTCATGTTCCAGGGAAACTGGAGGGAGTTAGGTGAGGTCAGAAAAGTCATGCGATCTTGATAGAAGGTGCCTAGGAGGGCAAGATGAGGCATAGACTTTGGGGGGATTGAATCTTGAGTCATATTCACATTGATGAATTGTTTGAATGACCTGAATAACATTTGGTGGCCATGCAATTCATGGAATGCTGTGATTTTATGCTTTTGCTTGTCTTCCGGGTCTTCTCCAGGCAGCTGGGCGATTGAAGATTGCGCCCAGCACGTTGGCGCTGAAGTGGGCAGAGCACAAAGGCAAGGTGATGGGCTGCAGGTTTGTGGGAAAAGATGATCGCCCCGTGAAGGGTAGTGAAATGATCTACTCCGGACTCCCAAATGTAGAATAGTGATGAATGGTGTAGAATGCCTGTAGATATACCCACAAGCATTCTGATTCTGTGCCTATGAATTACACGAACCAGCGTTTGGGTGGACAACATTTTCTCACTGAATCCCATTGAGCCTGCTGTCCAAAGTTCGGATCGATTCAGAAATATTGAAGAAAGACACGCAAAAAGGACACATATTTGTGGGTTCACTATCTCTCTCTCTCTCTCTGGATGATTTCCAATGAGCAGATCAATTCAGGGGTCCAGACATTGAGGATGCTTCCAACAAATCTCACTTTTCAAGACGCTGTTGACCCATGGGAGGCGTTGCCCTTCTCTCGAAACAGGATTTCTTGCGACCTGGCATTTGTGATGCAAGCGGGGGAGACCACCAGCATAGCTGGTGTGTAAAAATGAGCGGCCGCATCCAAATGTAAGATGCAGTTGATGCGGAAGGACATTTCTTTGCAGTGTATGACTGGCATGGCGGCTCTCAAGCTGTCAGCTTCGTCAAACAAGAGCGTCCAAAGATTTTGGGGCATGAGGAGAATGCAGATGTAAGCCTGAGATTGAAGGACGCCTTCACAAGGCTGATGCTGCTCTTTTGAATCATTTGCATGAGCAAGAAGAGGCTGACATCCCAGAGCTTGCTGTTGCCAATCTTGGTGACTGCCCATTGGCCCGCTTTGGGGGCTCGGCAACCCAGGTCGCCACAAGCCCTCTTCCAGGGGTCCAAGCGTCATTGGATGGCTACCTGACAGGTAGGCCCAAGCAGATGCGACTGTCTTCTCAGCTGCTGACAACGTGTTCATCCTGCTGGCGAGGTATGACCAACGACTCGACGCTGGTCCACGAGACCAGCCGGAGACAGCGGTGCTTCCAGCGACGTCTTGTTGTTTCGCACGGTTTTGGAGTCTGCTTTTGTTGAACGGGCAATCCCTTTTGGACAGCTCCTGAGTTGTTGTCTTCTTTGTCTTTGGTGAAGCAAGCGCAGAAGAGGATTGGTGCATAGTGCATGGACAACCAGATTCTGCCAGCGGAGGCATGGTGTGCCCCTCGCTTGGACGGACAGTCTTGATCCACAGGAGGCGACTGGACCAGCAACGGCAGCCACCATAATTATGCATCATAGAGATGAGATGACTGACAATCTCGGACGTATGAAAGGCAACATGTGTGAAAAGGAGTGGCTTTGGGCTTTAGTTGTATTCACCGTGTATTCGCCCCTGCACAGGACTTTGAGGGTCACCGTGCCTGGCATGGCGCGGGGGGCACTGGTGTGGTCTCCCCCGGAAGATTGGAACGCCAAGCTCCAGTGTTCAGGTTCTTCCCTGATTGGGCAAGTTGTCCTTCTGCAAAAATCACTTGGAAGCCCTGATGTCGTGGACGTCATTCAGATCATCCCCCAAACGCAGCCATGGTTGATACTTGTCCAAGGAACCGTTTCGGGAACGGCAAGTGGGCCATGAACATGCAAGTGGGCCGTCCCCGTCGTGCACCGTGTATTGATGCGCAATTGCAATCCAAGGTTGTTGATGTTTTTGGTATTTGTTGGTACTCATGTGACTGGTGCATTTGGCAGTTCATCACCGGAATTGTCCTTTGCCTTAGCCGTGTGGTGTGGTGTTTGGGTCCTTTTCCGATCCACGAATGCTCAGTCAGGCTTCCTGGCGCTGGTCCCGGAATTGCAACATTTGCTTGGGTCGCTTGGAAGGTGAACGAACCAATGAGTAGCGTAGGCGTAGGCGTAAGCCGCTGCATCGAGTCGAACCGCTGGCATAGCCCGGTTGAAGGCAAAGTTTCTTTGATGAGATCGGAAGAATTCACGTCGTTCAGGGAAGAATTGACCTTCAGGGAAGCTGGCAGAAATGGAACCACAACGGGTCGTGATTGGAGCCACCCGGCCTAGACGCCCATTGTGGTCGAAACATTTAAAGCATTTCAGCCAACGACGCCCTCAAGATGGTGCGGAAACAAAAAGAGTGTACATGTTGTTTATTAGAATAAAGCAATATAAAACACATGTAAAGTAGTGTGTCCAGTTTGCACCTGCCTAGGTTATTGTAACATGCTTGCCATTGCTTGCCCCATCCATACCCACGTCACTGACATCAACTGACCAATGGGCTGAGGTCTGTTCCCTTGGACCATCGCAGCTTCATGCGCCTGTGTCTCGGCCACCACGAAGGGAGGACTTTAAACATGTCCAGTTCGCTGGTCAGTATTGGTCACTCAGTGGGGTCGAGTGGGGTTGGTTGAAGAGATCAATGATGATTAATTGACATATAATTGTATGATGATGTAAGATGTTTAAAGTCCATAGCTACAGGGATTCTTTCTACTATGACTACACAATTATAGAGGATGTGTGGGCGTGTCTTAGTCATGATTCCCTGTGGCAACTGTGTTATATTGTGTTCAAAATCTGACTTGAAAAAGTGTGTGCCACAAAAAAGTTCACGTCTTTGGAATTGTGGATCTTCTACATGC